GTTTATTTGTTTACACACCACAGTTTTTCGTGTTCGTATCAACTGAATCTTATACTCTGTGTGTGTGTGTGTGTGTGTGTGTGTGTGTGTGTGTGTGTGTGTGTGTGTGAAGGTACACTACTCTTTCATACCGGGCCCCAGAAATGGTGAATCTATATGGGGGTAAAGTTATCACTACTAAAGCAGATATATGGGTGAGTCAAAGAGGTGAAGACTGCTAGAGAAAAATTCAGCAGCAGCCAAAGCTTTTTTCTCTGTAGTTGATTATTATATGCATAGCATTTTGAAACATCACAAAGGGGGTTTGATGACTCTTGCTTATTTGTGTCCTCAGGCTTTGGGCTGCTTGTTGTATAAGTTGTGTTACTTCACTTTGCCGTTTGGAGAGAGTCAGGTGGCCATCTGTGACGGCAGCTTCACCATCCCTGACAACTCCCGCTACTCGCACGACATGCACTGTCTCATCCGTAAGTGCAGCTGATGATTGCTTGTCTGTCATGCAGAATATGGCATTCATATGTTCTTTACAAGTACTAATAAACAGCCAATATGCTAGTAATATGCATGCTAATAAGCAACTAGTTAATAGTGTTAATAGTTAATAATATAATAAATCACTAATTATATAATAATAGTTAATAGTGTTAATAACCGCTAATAGTGTTCCCTAATCAAAAGTGTTACCGTATTTTCAACAATTTTCACTGTAAATATCGTCCAACTCCAAAAAATATTCTGTTCACATGTGTAAATTTATGTTTTAATAAAACATTATTAGGGACAAAACTGTTGGTGGAACAACTAAGTACAGTCGTCATTTTTGAAAAATATTATTTTTCACACATTAAATATTAAAGTAGTTTGTTTTTCACTCTTTGTTTAGATTACCATAGATTTAAATGTTTTTATTGTGTGTGTGTGTGTGTGTGTATATGTATGTATATATATATATATATAATGCACTCTACTGTTCGAAGGTTTGGAATCGGTACAATTATAATTTTTTTTATTGTTCCTAAAGGATTAAAGCTAAAGCGTTAAATTAATCAAAAGGGACAGTGAAGACATTTATGATGTTACAAAAAATTTCTATTTCAAATAAGTGCTGTTGTTTTGAGCAACATTTATCCTGAAAAAAATGCTGCAGTTTCCACAAAAAAATATGAACGTAACTAGTAATAGCAACGTAACTCTTCCTAACATGGATAATGATAAAAATTGTTTATTGAGCACCAAATCAGCATAGTAAAATGATTTGTGAAGGATCATGTGGCACTGAAGACTGGAGTAATGAAGCTGAAAATGATTGTAAATGAATAATTTAAAACATATTAAAATAGAGAAGGCTATTTTAAATTGTAATAATATTTCACAATATTCCTGTCTATACTGTATTTATTGTACTGTTTATATCAAGTAAATGCAGCCTTGGCGAGCATAAGAGACTATTACAAATAGTTAAACATTAATAGACAAATATTAAACCTATTGAATGGTAGTTTATTACATTTATAGTGTATTATGAGTAAGGAATAATTGACAATGGGCCATTGAATTATTAGAAAATAATGCACACCATAATGCATATATATATATATATATATATGTATACAATATTACCTTCATATAACAAAAAGAAAAAAAAACGTTTTTATTTTAATAAAATTAATTTTCATTCTCTGGGACAATAAAAATAAATTTTTCAAGATTTAGCAAAACCTGTACACTTTTTATTATTTTTATTTTTTTTCCTGTACACTTTTATGTTTTGATTTGTTTAATTTCTCCCATCTCAGGTCACATGCTTGAGCCAGACCCTGACATAAGGCCAGATATCTACCAGGTGTCATATTTCGCCTTTAAACTGGCACGGAAAGAATGCCCAGTACAGAATATCCACGTAAGACCTGCTCATTCATACTGTAAAGATCTCTCTCCCTGTTTGCTGTGCTATAACTACACAAGCTACCATGTGCATTTGCCCTGATCTTCTCACCCGTTTTTCACACTCTACAGGGTTTTTGTTCTTTATTTCAGCACATACTTCTTAATTCATGCCTATCCCTAGATATCGTAAGTGCTTGCACAGGAAGTGGAATGTGGCTCGTGGCTGCCAGCTGGCACACATCCAGTGGCCCCTCCCACTCTGAGCAGTATTGATAGCATAATGGAAGCATTGAGTCATGATCAAAGACATATTAACATCGACACCCGCAAATGCTGTTAAGAGTTCAATACAGGAATGACGATACAATTTCAAGGTTATTTTGCAGTTTTTCCTGACATAGGGATGTTTGGCTCAGACTGCAGACTGCGTCTACAAATAAATATCAAAGCTAATCATGTGCTTTCATTACACATTTGTGTTTGTGCCAACAACATGCACATCTTTTGTTGTTGAGGACGTCATCTTCACATATTTTTACACATTCATGGAAATTAAATTATGTACTTAAGAAGGATGATTTCATAGGATGTGACACTGGCAACACCTCTATGCGTAACTCTCTTAAATAACAATACAATTAAATTAATTAAATAACTTTATTTAATTCACTTATAACTTTGAAGTCAATCTGAAATAAAAAAATGACACTGAAATACTTTCTTCATGTTACTGGTCTTCATGCACAATTCATTGGAGTGTGTTAATATTTTGAATTCACTTTTATTTTTATATTTGTATTTATTTTAGTAATTTTGTTATGCACTTTTGTAATTTTTATTAGTTTCTATGGTAACACTTTACAATAAGGTTCCATTAGTTAATATTAGTTAATGTATTAACTAACATGAACGAACCATGAACAGTACATTTATTAATCTTTGTTAATGAAAATACAGTCGTCCGTTGTTAGTTCATGTTAATTCACAGTGCATTAACTAATGTTAACAAATACAACTTTTTGATTTTAATAATGCATTAGTAATGTTATAATTAACATTAACTGAGATTAATAAATGCTGTATAAGTATTGTTCACGCTTAGTTCATGTTAACTAAAGAAGTTAACTAATGAACCTTATTGTAAAGCGTTACCAAAATGGTTTTAGTAATTTTAAAGGGGACATAGGATGCCCATTTTCCACAAGTCGGTATGATTCTTTATTGTCTTCATGAAATGTCTGCACCATACTTTGGTTATAATTTCTCAATGATCATGTAAAATAACACTTTTTACCATATCAAAAACAGCTGTGTTCACAGCGACTCGTTTCGGTGCATGTCTCTTTAAATGATAATGAGCTACTGCGCACCCCGCCCCTCTCTCCCGTGGGCCGTCGACACAAGACCCGTGAATATATCCGTATATGGCTCAAAGGTGGTCTTATTCAAATAGCTAGCTCTCTACATAGAAACTGGCTGCAGGTTGATACAGCTCGCTGGATGACACAGTTTCAGACTCAGACAGCCAATAACAAACTGGCTGCATGCTTTCTTTTCAGCTTTTTTTGTGCTGGCGAACACGCCAGAAACCTAACTAAATGCAAAACAAGCTAAAAAAGTTATATTTAAGTTATATTTAAGTTTTTTAAGTGTACGTTTTTTTATCAAATTTTTATATTTTATTTTATTTCAGCTTTATTTCAATTAACTATAAAAATTGTGTTTGTGTGTGAAAATGTGTGTTGAATTTCCTGTTTCACTGGAATGAGTTGATAATGTTTCATGTTGACTAAAGACAACCAAATACTAAATGCAACAATATCCCTCTCATTCCACTAGAATTCACCCATTCCAGCAAAACTCCCAGAGCCAATCAGAGCCAGTGAGGCCGTGGCTAAGAAGAGTCAAAACAAAGCCAGGTGAGGCTGTCATTTATCTGTGTGGTCTCAGCGGTTTGAAGTGACTTTGCATTTTATTACATACTTTTTTCTTTAGTTTTAGGATGCATATAATTTTTTATAGAGTGGTAGTTCTGATTCGACTTGAACTTTTCTGGTCATTCAGGCTCTCTGATCCAATCCCTACGACTGAGACATCCATAGCGCCACGGCAGCGTCCCAAGGCTGGTCAAGCTCAACCAATCGCAGGCATCCTGCCCATCCAACCAGCCCTCACCCCACGCAAAAGAGCCAGTGCACCTGCAGGACCCAGCCAGCCAATCAGTGAGTGTTCATACATCCACCTTCATCCAAAATCAAACACTATGTAGGCATCCACATTGTAACAAACTCATACGTGTGGCTTCAGTCCTTCATGCACGCTCAGTTTTTTTTCTCAATTTTATTCTCTTCTCTCACTCGTTGCATTGACCGGCATGTGTCTTTGGCTGACACACGCGGCTCTAGTATTCCCACTGGCTCAATCAGTTTGTCATTACAGAGAGCTTTTAAAACCTCACTAATGAGCCTGAGCTATTGAGCCCCTGACACACTCAATCCTACCGAGCTGTCGTTTCACTTCCTATTTCTGAAGTCAATGCTAATTAAAGCCCCACATGTATTACTGATAACGAATATCCCTGTGTATTGTTATCTTCCTGTAATGTTTTAGCATCAGATTATCTGGGTCTGGATAGTAGTACTTTGTCTTCACTTAGGATGACAAGTTTCATGTTCATCATGTAATTTATCATCGCTGAAAATGCCAATGCTGCACACAGCAACAAAATCACAACCACAAAGACATTTTTTTTGTGTGTGAGGCTCTGTAGTCATTGGACTAGTTTCACGTTTGTTCCTCGTCTCGTCTTGCAAGTCCGAGAGTGGGGATTTTAGGGGTCTGTTGTTTTTGTTTGTTAATGTTGTGTTTCTATTCTGTTATTCTATTGGTTCACAGGTGTTAACATGGCTTCCCAGCCTGTTGCCCTATCGCAGATTCCTGTCACTCAGCAACAAGCCACTCCCTCTCCACCCCAGACCACACCCCAGCACGCACAACTTTTTGTGCAGCAGCAAAATACAGCCTTCTTTACTGCTCAACAACAGGTAACTGCTACATGAACAGTTCTGGAAATATTTTTTCAAAATGGAGTTATAATTTAAAGTCAACATGAAATAAGATTTGAACCTATGTACTTGCTTAATATATGTCTTACTGTGAACAATAGATCCCCTTAATCCACTGTAAGCTCAGATTCAGGTCTGACTCTGAACACTCAATTTTCTTGATCCAATCAAATCCAAATAGATGATTTATAATTTTTTTTTCTCATTGAATGCCCGATTTTGCGCAAATATGTCACATTATAGAAGTAAATGGGTTGTAATTGCTGTTTCATGTGGATTTAAAATAAATAATCTGGGAAATGCTATGTGGTAATTTTCATTATGGGTTTTTACTTTTTTGTCCAATGTGATGCCAGTTGTTGCACTTACCTCCTATTTTAGCAGCATCACTCAACGCAGACCTCCGTCTTACCTGCACAATCGGTTGCATCATCCTCCACTCCTGTTTCTACACAGTCTAAACCTAAGAACAGGGCTCCCCCTCCACCCATACACCACCCTCAAACCAACCGCCTGACAACATTATCAGCAACGGCCCCAGCTTCGCCTGCAGAGTGTTCACATAGTAATAGTGTAGATGGAGATTTCACTGCGACCATGTCTGCCCAACCTAAAACCAAAGCTATGGCACCTCCGCCCCCCACATCACACGCCTCCACCCTTCCTCCGCCTAAATCCGCTTCAGCACCATCCACTGACTCTGAAGTGGACCCAGAGCAGAGGGTAACCCTCCGAACATCTGTGTCTGCTCTGTTAGAGTGATTTTTTTTTCTTGCTTTCTAAAATGTTTACACTCCTCTTGTTGGTTTGCCTTGAATCTTAAAGGGATAGTTCACCCAAAATTGCGATGTCGTCATCATTTACTCACCCTGTATAAATTTCATCTACTGAACATAGACCAGAACAGTTTCTAGTCCCCGTTGACTGCCATAGTATTTTTTTTTAAGTCACTGGCTACCAGCAACTCTTTGGTCAGCAGCATTCTTTAGAATATCTTCTTTTATGTTTAACAGACATTCAGTCATCATTTACTCACCCTGTATAAATTTCATCTACTGAACATAGACCAGAACAGTTTCTAGTCCCCGTTGACTGCCATAGTATTTTTTTTAAGTCACTGGCTACCAGCAACTCTTTGGTCAGCAGCATTCTTTAGAATATCTTCTTTTATGTTTAACAGACATAAAATTCATGCAGGTTTGAAACAAAATGAGAGTGTATAAATGATGACAGAATTTTTGTGAACTATCCCTTAAACTTCATTGTTATGATTTTTGGGTGCAGTTTTTCAAATTATTTCAACATTGTAATGAAATCAGTAGGTGTTGACAGTTACTGTATAATTATGCCTGCAGGGCAAGGTGTCATGTACAACACAGGTGGAGGTGTTCTTTCTAATAAACCTTAGTCAGGGTGGACGCCATATTGAGTTTTACATGGATGAAAATGAGGGCTATATATATATATATATTCACATATATAGGCATATATGATCAGTAATTTTCCAAAATTCCTTGTTTTCATTCCTGTCAAAAATTTAATATGCTGCTACACATCTTTTAACAACCTCTTGTTGTTCCAAAGCCATATCATCTTTGTTGTTCTTCCATAAAATTCAAAAGGATAAGTTGAGCTGATTGTTCGCACTGCCTTTTTTTCCCATAAAGTAAAAGTATTTCAGTTTCAGAAGTCATTTGATAGCTTTGTGTGATAAACATGCAAAATTGAAAAATGTCATTCTATGCCCAAGTTTAATTTTTGTTCATATATTCAACATGTCACATTAATATATTGTGTGCCGGGTTTAACATCCTTTAAACACAATGCTATTGGTCAGGATGTGGCAATGAATATGCACAAGCCCAAAGGAGATTTGAGGGCAACGGCAGAGGACAAGATTTTCGTTGTATAATGACCTACATTTCAGTCTGTTCTTCACACAAATCCTCTGGCTTCTTCCATGGTGCTTTATGGTGTTTTTTGTCCCTTTTGTAGCTGAGCAACCCCAGAATCACTTCCATTGTATGGAAAAAAAGAACCCAGGATAATGATGTAAAAAAGAAGATTTTACGGATTTGGAATGACATGAGGGCAAATGAATTAAAGATTTTAATAGATGAGATTTCTCTTTTGAAATGAATGGAAATGACCGATCCATCTGATAACAGACATTTCACCTTTCAATCCTTTTAGATATTTTCTCATTTCACAGATCAGCTTTTTTCAACAAGTCACTGAGATATTAGATTTGTCTTTTTTTATTTATCTGAAGCTCTCTTTCTTCACCTTTCAAAGACCACCACCTTCTCTACAGAATGTCTCCTTTTGATATTTCAGAAATTAAATTCTCTAATTAATATCCTTCAGCTTTCAAAGTGTTTAATGTTGCTCTGTCTCTATACCTTTCTTTCTGTAAAAGTCTGTCGGCGGAAGTCGTGGGGTGCATAAAGTCGGCTCCTTGACTCCACCCTCTTCTCCCAAGACGGCCCCAAAAGGAGGCCACAGACGAATTCTGAGTGATGTCACACACAGCACCATATTTGGAGTTCCTGTGAGCAAGTCCACTCAACTGCTTCAAGCTGCTGCTGCAGAGGCCAGCCTTAACAAGTCTAAGTAAATCAAGGAAATACCTAATCAATCATGTTATAGTTCAGTTTCAACCATTACATTGTCCAGCATTGAGCAAAGACAAAAGTAAAGCACTAAATTTTAGTAGTGATAACGGAGTAGCAAAATGGCAACATTAGGGCCATTTAAATGGTCATATCATGCAAAACTGGATTTTTCTCGCTCTTGGTGTATGTAGACATTAGATTTGTTCAGAATAACATTCTGCGACATGCAGTGTGCTCGACTGGAACCTTTTATTTCCAGTATGACGTATCAACTGGAAGTAATTCAAGCCACGGTTGTTAACATCTGGATCCTCCCTGCTGAAAAGGTCTAGCTGGCATCCCAGCCTGGCAGTCAGCTGGTTTACCTGAAAAGGGCCCACAACCTCTCTTAAGACAAGCCAAGATCTCAGACAACTAAGACTAGAAAAACATCTATTTTAAGCTGTTTATTTGTTTATTTATTTCTTCAGCAGGGTTTATTCATTATTTTTGGACTGCTAAAGGTTTAAGGCCTTGCCACACCAAGCTGACATCAAAGAATTGCACCTGCTTGAGAGAAAATAACTCTCCAGAACAGCAGGTGGCAGTAATTTATATTATGCATTTAAAATGGGAAGCCGAAACTAAGACTGCAGATTTATGAAACATAAAACAAAACTGTTGTTTAGGGTGCCTGCTTACCATTTTGAATATGAAGCTTGATCAGTTGGTCTTCACTTTCTACATTCCAGACAGCCATGTCTTTATGAAAATATTCACGTATTGGAATGGTGAGATAAATTGAAGGTGTGAAATTAGAAGAATCTATGTTTGCACTCTTAGGCTACGTTTACACGACAACGATGTAGTCAAAAACGGAAAAGTTTTTCCCTTGCATTTTTAAAAAGTTTCACGTATACACAACAACGTTTTCAAAACGATTCACGTTTACACATCCACGAAAACGGCCAAAAACGCTGTATTACGTATGCCAGGCCAGTAGTTGCCGCTGTCACCTTGTTAGTAAACAGTACCTGAAGTGTGTGTATAGGATGCATCTCCGCTGTTGGTTGTAATATTGGTGAAGTAAATCCACACTTTGCTGAAGAAGCGTTAGCAAACTCTTGAGCAGCAACTACAGTACCATGTACTCCGCCATTGTTGTGTATGTTTGTTCGTGCTTGCCTTTAAAATCGATACGTACTGCGCATGTCTACATACCTAACACGCACTACGCACGTGCATGACGTCGCCGTTTTCAAAGATTCCCGTTTTGGGTGTTTACACGGAAACGATAACGATGCCGTTTTCAAAAACTTGCATTTTGAAACCAGTTTTCAAAAATATGTGTTTTCAGTCCCCAAAACGCCGTTGACGTGTAAACGAACAGGCAAAACGCATAAAAAGTTTTTGGCTGAAAACTTTGTCGTGTAAACGGCCCCTTAACTTATCATTAGCTAGCTTTCATCACTCAATTTTTTTTTCTCGTTCACTGGTTCACTAAGCTGAACAGCCAATCAGAGTGATTCCTCTTACTGGCAGCCCAGTGGCCATTCAGCATGCTCAATCGGCCAAAACACTTCAGAGGGTGGTCCAACTAGTGCCAGTGTTTTGAAACACACTGCAAAAACTGGCCCGACAGACACTCAATTATTGCCTGCCTTTGGCCAGCAGCCGACTGTCGGCTTGGTGTGTCATGGCCTTGGAGTTGTATGCAAAAATCTAATTGAAAATGCAAATAGTTTATATTTCAAAGATAATAACTTGACACCACTCGGATGCAGCATGCTGAGGTCGTGTGAGAACACTGAAGTGGAGCATTTTGAAACATTGTTATTTTCCTCTCTCTGCTGTAGGTCAGCTAGCACCACTCCCTCTGGTTCTCCATGTTCATCACAGCAGAGTGTTTATCAGTCAGGTGAGGCTTCGGGACCCTCGGCTGGAGCCACAGCATCCTGGAACCCCTTTGGCGATGACAATTTCTCTAAACTCACAGCAGAAGAGCTGCTCAACAAGGATTTTGCCAAACTGGATGGTAAAACCAATGTTTTCATATGAAATCAAGTTTTCCCAGTTCTTTTTAGCACAGTATTTCTTTTAGTTACCCTCTACAGAGAGACTACAGTAATGCTGTGTATGTATGTGTCTGTATTACCAGCTAAGACCGCAGAGAGACCCTGTCCTGAAAATCTGATTTCTGGGTTGCAGTCTGTGTCTTCCAATAAAGGCTTTCTCCAGGGAGGAGGTACGGTCTATTTATCGCTCTATCTGTCTCTTGCTATGTATCTCCCAATGCTTGCTGGGAGTCTGGTAGTGCTTAAAACACAACTATTTTCGAAATAGTTTTTTCAACTTTCAAAGCAACATGATGGCACAAATGCTGGAAAATGTTTCAACCAGTGGGTGCTGGTGGATTTTCAGGAAGGGGGATAGTCCTTCACAATTTACGACAAACTCTGGAATGGAATGCCAATTTTTCACAATCCACATAATTCCCAGTGGATCACGTCCCACCCTGCATTTTTATCTTGAATATCCTGTTTCACCAAGAAACATGCCACGTTGCAGAAGTAAAATGGGTTGTGAATGTTGATTCTTGACTTTTAAACATTCTGGCTTTTTCAGTGACTTTAAAAAGGCAGTTAATGTACTTGACCTCCTCGAGCCTTCCAGAAATAAAGTAACTTGTGCATCTCACCTGCTGGCAGCCTTGCGATAAGCCTTTCCTCTTCCTATTTATAGAGATAAAATACAGATAGGGCACTCTACTTCCACCTGCTTTCTTGGAAACATTGTGGAAACATCCAGAGAGCAGAGGTGTCCAATCCTGCTCCTGGAGGGCCCCCAGCCTGCAGAGTTTGGCTCCCACACACCTGCCTGGAAGCTTCAAGAGATTGTGAAGATTTTGATGGGCTGGATCAAGTGTATTTAACAAGGACTGGAGCTAAACTCTGCTGGATGGTGGCCCTGCAGGAACAGGATTGGACACCCCTGTCAAAGAGAATTGGGGCTGGGCTCTTTTGGCATGGATCAGTAAGCAACTGTCTTGCAACCTGTCAGGGATAGTTAACCTAAAGCTGAAAATTCTGTCATCATTCTTACTCTCATATCATTCCAAACACACTTTTGTTGATCTTTGAAACACGAATGAAGATATTTTTAATGAATCCTGAGAGATTTCTGTCCCTACACTTAAAGTTAATTTCACCTAAACGTTCACAATTCAAAAACTTTGTAAAACAGCCATTTGTGGGAAAATAAATATTAGAAAAGACAACATTTATGAATTTCAGGTCCTCATTTGCATGCTATTTGTGGAAAGTGCCACAGGATAAAAGCAATTATATAAACAGCATATTCTACCACGTTGTATATAATGGCACATTATGGTACTACAGATATATTCTTTTAAATGTTATTCTCTCTTTAATATTTTTAGTGTTAGAATTTGTGTGTAAAAGAAATGCATGCATGATGATTCTCAGCAGAAAGCAGAGAGAACGTATTAACGCTTGGAGGTCTTACATAAGCACAGTCTGGTAATCCTCTTTGAATCTGATGACACCAGATTGCTCGGTAAATTTAAGGCACAGGTAAACCTTTTGAGAGTCGTGAGATGCAAAGTCATGAAATTGGCAGTCATGTGTACTCTAGCTCCATAGTGATCTATGACATGCAAACTTTTCCTGACATAATTAGTAGCCATATCTAGGGACCAAATGAGACCAGTAAGCAATCATCTTGTAACACTTTAGCAACCATTCAGAACACCCTAGAAACTGCATAACAATATGATCAAATCTACTCTGAATATCTGAGAAACTGCGTAGCTATGCCCTGGCAACCTTTCACAACACTCTAGTTGCATCTGTTTATTCAGAGCAGTTGAAGAACTTTGAGACTTGAAGAGCTTTTTTGACTTCATTCATGTTTAAAGGTTGATGGTTCATTCTTTGCCCTAGTGAAATGGGGAAAGCGAGCGTTCTGCTGTTCTGTGACCTGAGTACCCCCTCCTCTCCCCATACCCTCATCCCAAAGTCCTCCTTTCTATCACGAAGACTGTGAGTAAACTCCAGCACTGCAACGAAGAGTCCTATTCTCATCTGATCCGCATGCATCTGATTTAATGAAACGGTGACAGTTGCACCATTCCGACCGTATGCCAGTTGAACTAATAGCTTGTCTGGTAGTCAAGTGCTTTCTTCTCCTCCTGCTCAAGTTATAACCCTGAGCCTGTGAAATAAAGATTGTCTCTCTAACACAATTAATAGAAAATAGGCTGTAGTATGCTAGTAGGTCATTTGGCTATTCCAAGCATATAAACTAAGCTATACTATACTATGCACTGTATACATGCTGCATACTGAAGAGTGCAAGAAGTACTCTGAACACAAACACTTCCACTCTCTCTTTTGCCTTTTATCCTTCTGTTGTGTTTTAAAGGATTTTGCTGGGTTGTTCAGTTAAAGTAGTTTGTGCTCTTGCATTCCTCTTTTACCAGCAGGATTCAGCATGATGAATGCTTATACTAACTCTCTTAATAAATGTCCTTTTGCCTCATGAGCAACACCTTTCACTTAACTCCTCTCTCCTCCCTCCCTCGCCTCTCCTCTCCTCACTGACTCTGCTCCACTCCTCACTGTATCCTCCTCCTGTCCTTACTGTTTCTCTTCTCCTTTCCTCACTGTTTCCTTTCTCCTCTCCTCTTATTCTTTCCTCACTGTTTCTTTTTCTCCTCACTATCTCTTCTACTTGCTGTCGCTCCTCTCCTCTCCTCACTGTCTCCTCTCCTTATGGTGTCCTTGCACCCACTCTTCTGTCTCTCCTCCTCTCCTGATTCTTTCTTTTCCCTTCTCTTCTTCTTAAGGTCTCTTCCTTTTCTCATGGTGTCCTCTCCGCAATGTCTCTTCTTCTCACCATCTCCTTGCTGTCTCCTTCCTGTTTCCTCTCTTCTACTCATTGTCTCTTCTCCTTTCATCTCCACCTCACTGTCTCCTCTCTTTTCTTTTCCTCTGCTCGCTATCCCCGTCTCATCTTCTTACTGTCTCCTCTCCTCTCCTTTATCCTTTCCTCACTGTTTCCTCCTCTCTCCTCCTCTCATCCCTTATCCTTTTCTCATTGTTTCCTCCTCTCCTCTCCTTTATCCTTTCCTCACTGTTTCCTCCTCTCCTCTCCTCTCCTCACTATCTCTTCTCCCTTATCCTTTCCTCACTGTTTCCTCCTCTCCTCTCCTCACTATCTTTTCTCCCTTATCCTTTCCTCACTGTTTCCTCCTCTCCTCTCCTCTCCTCTCTATCTCTTCTCCCTTATCCTTTCCTCACTGTTTCCTCCTCTCCTCTCCTCTCCATCTCTTCTCCCTTATCCTTTCCTCACTATTTCCTCCTCTCCTCACTATCTCTTCTCCCTTATCGTTTCCTCAATGTTTCCTCCTCTCCTCTCCTCTCCATCTATTCTCCCTTATCC